AGTTGAGACACTTGTGCATTAAATGGGTATTTTCTGCAGGACAGAATGTATATCACAGCATACAAATTAATATGCCAGTGGTGTCAGAGCTCTGGAACAAATCCTGCGGCTCCATTCTCCACCCTTCCTAATCCCTCTGCAGGGCCATATATCTCTCACTGCCAGCTCTGAGACAATGAATCATTAAGAAAAGCACAGTTTGTTAAAGCCTGACAGAGGCTTGGGCTCAGTTGGTCATATCACTAAAAGGATTTTGTCTCTGATTAATATCAACCTGTCAGTAGAGGTCTCCGGGCAGAATGAAGGAACCTGCCACCCTGTATGTTTCCAATTAATACTTCTCAGAAGGTGCCTGGAGATCCATCAATAATCTTAATTAAATATAACCGAAGGGATGACAACTAATGATTAAGGGAGTGGCTCTTTTGGGACAATGGCTGAAGAGTGTGCATGGCAGGTCAGGAAGAGAGGCAGATGGCTGCTTGTCTAACACAGCAAAGCTTGTTAAAACACTGATGTCCCTGATGACTGACTTTCAATTCAATTTATCCTGTTCCCAGTCCTTTAGGAGTTACTTGTTCTTCCACATTGGTTAAAACTACCCTCTGCCAAGGTACAAGAGGGGCATTTCTGCTGTGATTCTCCAGCTGCTGCATTTTGCAGATCATTTCCAGAGAAAGCAGTTCATTCTCCTTTCCGTCTAAACATATACATCCACTGTTGTTTGTTCTCATTCTACTTACCATCACAGGGGACCTAGAGATCTTTCAGTTCAAAAACTACTGCTGAAATAAGAAAATGCAATTCTTTATGAGTTCTGGAAATCATCAATATTAGGAATCAAATCACTATACTTCAGTGGTTATATGCTTCCTACACATTGAAGTCCTTGCTAAAGGACAGAAAACACAGACTACTACTTCTGTATAAAAAGTACCCAGCTTCTTACTGAAAAAACAGGCAGCACCAGGTATCACAGTTTTGGCAGGAGAATGAGAGCTGTAGCTTGTCCAATGCAATGCACTGGACTGCTACATTTTTAACCTTCTGTCAGACATTTCTCCTCTCTCACCTCTCAGAGGCCACAAACTTATCCTAGCTTGTCAAGTCAATTCTGAGACACAGCATCAATAGAATGTACTAATGTTTCATGTGAGCAGTAATAAGGAGATATCTATTTTTAGAACATTAATGCTAATGAATAAAGCTATCCTGAGAGCTTCGAAAGCCTCCCTGTAGTCACACGGTAAACAGGCAAAATGCATGACAAGCAGTGAATCCACTCTCCCGAGTTTGCAGAAGCCTACCAAAGGGTTTACAGGAGCAATCTCTTAATCTTCCTCAATATTTAGTATCTTTGTTAAAATTCCTGATTAGTCTCAGTCGTGCGTTTTTATGAATATGGGTACCTCTACTGCAAGAATATGATTAATATAGACGTCAAATACATCTATCACATCTATCATGTCTGAGTGTCATGTAGCCTCACAACATGAGCAATTACATTCAGCCACCATTTAACTGTGTTGGATTTAAAGCAGTGAAGTGAGAAATCCAGTTAACAATCAAAAACAGAATTCAGGAACCTTTTCCCAAAATATTAGTTATTGCTGCAGTGACCTTCCTCCTTGTCTGCATTCACTTGCATTAGTAGAAAGACAACTAGGATTGTAAATTGAATTTACTTTGGCTAAGACTGGCAGTAATTGTTGGCACTATATAGCAAGCCTTTCAAATGCATTATTAAGTAAATTGATTGCAAACTCTTCAAGGGTATGCGACCAGCTTCTCCTCCTGCCTCCTCCAAATAACAGGAGAGAGATGAAAGCTAAGACCATGGTGGTAGAACCACCTTATTCAACATTTTGCAGTCCTTGCTGTGCAGAGAAGTAGATGTTGTGAAGGTCGGCCAGCAGGCTCGAACAGAACTGCAACCACAACTCTTCAGCCAGGCTGGGAGGATTCCCACCTCCCCTGCCCCTGCACAGTTTGCCTGGCAGCTACACAAGCTATTCATACTATGCACTAGAATAACTATTTCAGCCCTAATTCTTGCACGTCATGTACAAAAAATGAAACACATTTAATATATTAAGAGAAGCAACAGACACTGTTTATAAATCATGGACGTACTGTGCCATACAGGAGACAATAAAGCTGGTATGATCTGTTACAACAGAAAAAACCTCTCAGATACAAAAGATACACAGGGCTTGGGTGAGCATCACAACTGCTAAGAAGGGTAGCTGTTACTCATTACCTTTTGACAAGTTCACCACCTGTAAGACTGTAAAAAAACAGCTAAACCTAGGAAGACACTATGAACACAGAAGAGAAAACAATCAAAACTGCCATGTGACTACAAACTGAAAGTTGTATTTTGAAAAACTCAGACAAAACCTCCAGAATATCTGTGCTAAAGTTACCTTCAGATCTGTACTACTTTCATACCCATGTTAAGAAGATACATGACAATCAGAAATACTCCTGCTTGACAACCATCATAAAGCTCAATGCAACAGCCTTCTGTAGTACAGACACAGAGCAAAACAACAAACAAATAAACTCCGTAGGAGTAACAAAAAAGCCTTGTTGTCTGGTGATTATAATATACGGAGAAAATAAACTGTGGTGAAGGAATACTTGGTTGTGAATTAGCACATGAATGAGTCAAGGCCCAAAGAAGTTTTCACCTAGTTTGCTACCTACTCTTCAGCTTGTACCACCACATCTTCGATGCTATTGTTTGGAAACTAGCTCATGTTGCTGAGCAGGACAGGACGGCAAAGTGAGGCTTTGGACACCAATCATCAGGAACTAAGTAGGTGCTATGATACACATGCTTATACTGATACTTCCTCCTGTTACTCCTGCAAGGATAATTAAAAGTAGCACGTCTAATTTTTGCAAAAGCAAATAAATTATAATAAATACCTGGAAATTATTACAAATGCTACACTTCTAGAAAATCTACTTAAAGTACAAGATAAAATGGTAAAGTGCTAGTACCTGCTTCTTGGTTTTTATGTTTAGTATAAAAACCAAGATCAGAATCTCTTGTCCCATCCCACCAAACACTTGAATGAAAAGTTTTTTGAGATATAGCTAATTAAGAGAACCATGCAGTCAAAGACTGAGTGATTTTCTATAGAAAAACATGAAATGAAGTAACTGAAGGCATTAATTCAAACAATTTACTTAAATATCACTAAACTGTTTAGTAGAAGTTGATATTCAGAACTAAAGCAGCCTTAATTTGTTTTATTCTTATTTATCTTAATTTATTTCTCAAGCATATTGTGGCCACTTCAATCCTGAATACACATATCTTTAATTTTAACCTAATTTGAGTAATTCACTTTAACAATTAACTCAGATATATTCACTTAGGTATTCGTGTCTCCCTAGTAACTTAAAAAAAAAAAGGAATATAAAATTGATAAATGCATTTTATCTGAAGAACCATTTGATAATATTATTAGAGAAGAGAGATAAAATAACAGTTGTTTCCTAAAAACTATCAGGTGAGATCACTCATTGTATGCATTTTCTACATTTGCAAGAATCCAGTGATAGTTATGGGCCTTGAGTCTTTGCTGTTGAGTGCCCCGATTTTAACATGGCAATTTTGTTCTGTCACCTGAGAGACAAATATTTAGGTGATCATTACATATCCTGATATACCTATAATACCATATCTATAACATGATGAAGGGAATTTGAGAGGAAAATATATATTAAGTGATCCATACAGCACTAAGCAATAGACAGTGAAATAATTAGGGACAGAATGTAGATTCACTCCTGTTTCTAAGTTTTACTAAGAGGCATCAGACTTCCCACAGCGATGCATAAACTGCCTTGCAAAATCAGATTAGCCCAGACTGTAGACTTTCATTACAAACATTCTGTCTTAGGCATGGATAAACTCTGGCTATTTAGTTAGGAGTTAACTTCTGCAGGGGGAGGAGAAACGGAGAAAGAAAACAGCATTGTACCATTAGACGTGACTGCAGCGTGGCCGTATTTGCCTATGCTTTTAAACCTGTGGCACTAAGGGAATTCGTTTCCCTTCACTGCAAGATCAATTATTTCAGGAAGATACCCAACATGGCAGGGGACAGTGGTGGTTATTTATATCTGTAAGTGATACAGGCTACACAGCAAGGAAGATCTATCCACATGTCATCACTTGTGAACTCCAGTCACAGACCAGGACTGTAACGTGTTAAGATTTTATAGAGATACAAAACCATCTCAGTGCACCTGGTTCTCATCATCCATTTCAGTTCAGAAAGACTTCAAGGCTTGTTTCCAAACTGCAGAGACCACTGGAAAGGCACCATTGTTAAAATGTATTTGTCTTTGCAGAAAGCTGCATGTACTCAAAAAGAACAAATCCAAGGCCTCTGAATTGCTAGCATTAAGGAGATAACAAAAAGTTGAGGTTATAGATTTCAGATTTGATGAAAAATTAAAGGAACCAAGGCATACCAATTTTACTTAGTTCTACACAATACCAGCTAATACACTTTGTGGTGTGAACTGATTTGTTGAAAGCTGAGAATTAAATAATTTGGTTTCTCATCCCACTGTACACATCACCTGGTAAGTTAGCAAAAGAGGAGAATTAGTCAGAGAGCAAGTGACCTGTTCATAGCTATTCAGTTCCCTTGAAAAGTAGGAGTATTTGAGTCGTGCTTACTTGGGGCAAAGAGACTTTATTGCTGCAATTTTGTAAGGCACAATTGCTCTCCACAGATTTGTCTGTTGTAACTCCTTCATTGGAAGAGCCATTTGTTAATAGCAGCTAAAAGTACATCTTAATAAAGAGAATATGTGACTGATAAAATACATATAAAAACAATTAATATTCTGGAGACGTAAAAAAAATCCCTGAAATAACTTAGAGCACTTGAGCAAGAATCTGAAGAAGTGTTCCTCTGAAGTCACCTAAGCCACAATGTAAATATACCAAATGCAAAAGGAGAATAAATTCGTCTTTTGCCCCACATGTTGACACCTGCAAGTCAGGAGTAGCTTCACACCACAGAGCTGAAATTCAAATCAAAGCAGTTGCTAACATCTCCACTGCTGGAATCCAATCATAACAGAAACTCACTCACTTCTTGCACGAGAAAAAATTGTCTCTGTGAGAGAGGTTTTTTTGTATTTCAAGGCAAACTTTTGAAGCAAGGTAAGAATTCAGTCTCAACCTCCAATCCAATTTTCAAATCAAGCTCTTACAAAGATGGGTCAGTGTTGCCTTGTCCTCTTGAGAAAAATCTCATGCATGTAGTCCCAAAATCTTCCCTGATGTGACTCATTGCGATGAATCATAGCTGTGAGGGCCTCACCCTGATCAAGGCTTTGCCAATAATCCTGCAGCCACATTTCTTTCCAGCTGAAACAAAAAAAGAGACACCACCACAAACCATTAACAAAAACAAATGAGTGTGCAGCTGTAATATCACAAAACCATTGTTTTTCTTTCACCTAAGAGAAAAACAGGCCCAGGGATGGTCATAACAAACAATATTGTTATTGTGCTCCAAGTCATTTAATGAAACTTGCCATGAAAATTCTCTATGGAAAATACAAGTTCACTATGAGTTTTAAAACATTCTAGAAGTATCAGCATATGACTAGAGTGTTTACCAAAGAGACTAAATTGTTAATTGTAGAGAATTAAAACTTCTATTAAAATAAAATCTATCACAGAGTCCTTAGATAATTTTGAGAGTAGCCTTCCATGGCCCTTATGTGTATAAGAGTTAGCCCTAAGAATCAATTTTTATTCCGACAAACCCTTTAACAAACTCAGGTTATACATGGCAGTGACAAAAATCATTACATTCCTCAATCCTGATTCTATTCTTTATCTCCAGACTAGATGGTCAAGTACAGGCCGTCTCTTTCTCAGTGCATACAGTCGCAAACTTTTTGTAGCACAAATTATATCACTGCAAGTTTCAGCAATTCCCTTCCCATTCATGATGATGTGGACTAATTCTCTCACTTAATTCTACGCAATACCAGCTAATACACTTTGTGGTGTGAACTGATTTGTTGAAAGCTGAGAATTAAATAATTTAGTTTCTCATCCCATTGTACACATCACCTGGTAAGTTAGCAAAAGAGGAGAATTAGTCAGAGAGCAAGTGACCTGTCCATAGCTATTCAGTTACTTTGAAAAGTAGGAGTATTTGAGTGCTTACTTGGGGCAAAGAGACTTCGCCAAGGAATGGCAACTATTTATTTCTTCTCCATTATTTCTGCTATCTAGCCACATGAGCCTATCACAAATTTTGGAAAGAAGGAACAAACATGATGCTCTTTATACGTCTTTATACGTCCATGAGTTACCCAATACCTGTCAACTTATATACGGAGCTTTTTGCTTCTTCTCCCTTCAAATCACAGAAGTAAAAGCAGTGCCTCCTGCATTCACTCTGTACCCCACACGTTGAACCCAGTGTGAGTGTTCTGCCCAGAAGCAAATCTCACCCACCTCTCCAGGCAGACCGAAAGAATCGCACCACACATCACAGCCGCTGTCCCTGTGGACATGCCCTGTACGCCACGGGAATTAGCTTGGTCAACAGCACCATCTGTGGTGGTACATCCCTGCAGTGTATACCAACATAAACCTCAAAATAAAGCTTTTAACATAGATTCCAATCTGAAGGATCATAGACAGGGGCTTATTTCTGCTTCAAAAAATCAGTATCTGCCAAAAGGGTCCTTTCTAAAACGCAGCACTTGGACATACTATGAGATCACATTGCTAAATCCATTAACCTTTGTTCAAGGACTGCCAATATGAGTTACTTGTTTTTTACAGCACAGAATAAGGGCACATGTCAATGTGCATTAAGTACTAGATCCAAGACTAAGTGGCAATAAGTAACAGAAAAAAAGAAAATGTTTTCCTGATGAATTGTACAGAAACAACACTAAAAAGAATTCTAGTATCTGAGTGAGGACTTCCATCAAAAATATTAAATAACACTTTGGTATTTTTCTTTTGAAATTGCTATTATTGGGGGTTTAAAAGAAAATAATTTCACTCTGATTCTGTAAATTGGGAAAAATTGGTACCTCAGGATGAGCAGGATTGCAGAAATCTCCACAGACTACCAACTACATACACCTGAAACATCATTACCATGAGATACAAGATCTATCTTTAATCCTGGATGATTACTGGATTCCACTGCAAGTGACTTCTCACGTGCACAAATGGCAAATCTCATACACTGTTAAGCTGATTTTTCTTGTCATAAATAAACTATGGCATTGACATAAAAAGGAACCAACAAAACCATGATGGTTTTACAACATTCCTTTATCAGCGGCACAGTGGCTTCTCTTTCCTTATGCCACCACAGATGATAATTTTAGGTAACTGGAAAGGAATTGTCACTTAGTCTTCTTCAAGTTACCCCTCAAACATCCCACTTTCAGAAAACGAATCCTTATCAACGAAACAAATCAAACATTTCTCTCACAAAGGTGGGAGTCCAAGAATAACTAGAGATTCTGATTTCCACTACCTAGAAGTTCCACTCACCAGTAGCACTGCAACCCACTGTTTTCTGTACAAAGAATTCAACAGATTGTAGTGACTGACTAACACAAACGGTTGTTCTACTGCCTTTCTTCGTAAGCTCACTTGGGTGTGAAGCCTGGGTGTCCAAATACAAGTGAGGCTGCAACCACAGGGATTTAGAAGCCACGACTCCACACCTCCAGCTAAAAGGTGTAAGTGTGCTGCAGCTACATATACCTACAGAGGGAGAAGAGTTCTGTCAATTTAGCTAATCTGTCAACCCTAAAAGCTAACGACATCTGGGAACAAGAGTTACAGAGATGCAGATGAGCTGCATTGTCACTGGGTACTTGTTCTAATATAAACTCCAATTGCCTTTATTGTTCTCAGAGTTCCAGAAGGCTCCGGAACCCCAAGTCACAGCGTGTGTTTATAGTCAGACCTTGAATGTTGCACACAGTCTATCGTTTGTATCTCCACTAGGCCTGTGTCCTTTTTACACAGTAATGTTTTCTAAAGTAACAAAACACTCGATTGACTGGCTCAGTAGGAAATCATGTAAACTGATCACACTGTCGAATAATATTACTATCAAACCCTGGCAAAATACGGGCATGTTAAACAAATGCTTTGGTGGCAATTTTATGTTAGTCACCACTTAGAATTCTAAGTAACCATATTTCATTTTGCAGATAAAACCAGTGAAAGCTCAGATGCTTATCAGATAGAAACCACTGTATTTCGCTGGAGATGCCCCTGATCATGCCTCAGAAGGTATGGATGCACATCTTTCTAAAGCAGATAGCAGCCAATATAAAAGCTTCCCTGGAACAATTTTTCCAGACATGGCTACAAACAGGGGAAGAGTAACATCCTCTGGGTCAATGAGACATTGAAGCTTCCATGGATGCAACTGTAGCTTGGGTTACAGACCAGTTGTTCAGCACTCCCTGCTGATGACCCCTGCACGGAACGATGGAAGCACCTGAGCCTGCAAGCGGCAGCCACGCCATATGTGCCTTTACACGTGCTTCTCTACTGCCACCTGATGCCCAAGCAAGAGAAAACCTATGGAAAAGTCAGGAATGCGTTTACAGAGTGGGATGCTGCAAGGAGAAAAACCGAGACTGAGAAAAGGCATTACTATAAAAGAGCTCCAGTAAATCTGTCAACCAACAGAAAACAAAGGATTATGAACCCCTTTTACTTATAAGCATAACTTTTCAGTTAGACAATATGAAAATTAGTTGTAATGTGAAAAATGCTTTTTGATGATAAACGCCAGATACTTTGTGAAACAGGCATTTCCTAAAACACCTGTATAACCCCACGCTTATTTTCCTGTTTTAATTTCAGTTGGTCATTTTTGAAAGCATCCCAACACAGAATTAAGTAATTCCCCATAGTTAAAAAATTCTTCATACTTTTTCTGGTGAATGGGTAATGTAATAAAAACATTTTTAGAGATTCATATCCATACAAAACTTAGTTCTGGGTTAGCATACTTGAAATTATGGATTTTACATTTTCAACACACTGCTTCTTCTAACAAAAGAAATCTTGCACTCCTAACACTAATTTTAACACTTCTAAGCACTCAATCCCTTACTGTAGAAAACTTTTAACAACGTTGTAAAGCGATATAAACTAGAATAAAGTACATTGACAACTTCCTTCTGGAAATGCATAAGATTTTCCCAATATTTTAAAAATTTCAGTAATGGAATACTCAGTGAGACTGCTATCAGAACATTGAAATCTTTGGTGATGGCTATTAACCTAGACAAGATCTGCTATGGCTGAAGGTTTATCTTTATGATGGCTGTCTGATGGCTTATACAGAGTGAATTGCATGCACTTGAGTAATTGCCTAAAAAGACAGAAACAGGTGCAGGTAATGCAAAGAAAAGCGATAAACCCAGGGAATCCAAACCTGTTATACTGTAATGCACACTTCACAAAGTCCACACATAGTTTACGAGCTGCAAGAACCCTTCCTTCTATAAACTGCAACTTCAAAACCCTGTCAGTGGAAAAGCCCAAAGGTTCGGGAACACCCAAGTACTAACTTCTTTTGTACCAATGCATGTATAAATAGACTAGATCATGCCATCAACACTCTATTCTGCCTGTCAAAAGTGGTTGCGCGAGGGTTGGTGTACTTAGTTCCCTGCTGACAGACTTTGAGGGCAGCTCATAGTGTGGGCTATAGGAGATTCCAGCAACACCAGCCATCCCTGTGTGCAATCCCCGGGACAAGATACTCAACCTAATCTCTGTTCTGTGCAATCCCTCTCCTAAACAAAGGGGATGGCATCCTTCAACACTAGCCAAGAGTTTTGTCACACAAAACAACACTAAGTCTTGTATTCTGGGGCAAGCCTAATATCTGATCCAAAGTCAGTGCGAGCCAACCAGGCCTGCACTGAACAGTGACAACCCCATTCTCAACCCAGTACTTTGTAGTGAGTATAGGGCTGACAAGTGCTGTACCATCACTGTACTGAAAACATCCCTCCCCCAAACGAAGTGGCTAAGAGTGACAGAGGATAACCACATTGCCCGAGGTCACAGAGCATTTTAACAGAACATTATGGGTGTCTCAGGCTTCTCTGTCAACCCCCAATACCACCATCCAAGCCTCTTGTCCAGCCTCAGTGTCACACAATATTAGCAGAACTACCGCAACACCCACAAGACATATTATAAAATGTAACTAAAGTTGTATTATGAGCTCCTTTAAGTATAAAGGATTATTAAAAGTTACAGCTACTATTATTTGAAGCTTTTTTCCCTTCAAAAAGCATAATATTGGTACATTACCTGTCTCCTTCAGCGAGGTCTTCAACACTTCCAAACCCAGGGGTTGGCACAGGACATCCCATGTGCTTGAACTGAGCTATGTGAGGTCTGGGAGCTGGAATTTTCCCATGGGACTTTTTGTGTTCCTGCTCCTCTTTGACCCGGATGTTCTCCCTGTCACAGATGAAACACTCGAAGCCATTCAGGTAATTGGGCAGAGTCATGTCATTCACACCCCACTCCCGCCTCTCCAAGCTCTCTAGCAAGAACTGGTTTTTGATTCCACCAACGTTTTTATATTCTAGATACTTCAAATATTCCTCTCCATTCTTGTCCAGGAAATCAAGATACTTTGCCAGCTCTTGGGGGCTGTCAAAGTCATCTATAAGAATGATGGAGAGGTTGTTTGGCATCCAGTCCCGCACAGCTGGGGAGCCTCGGTACACTGGGACAGCCCCCAGGTGCATGGGACGCCACAGCTTCTCTGTCATGTAGTCATCACATATGGCATTCTCCAAGGCCAGATGAAACTTGTACCTGGCGATAAAACTCATAAACTCAGAATCTTCTGTCGTGGCTGTAGAAGTGTCTCTCAGTCGTTCACTGGGAAGCTCACGGTTATGCAGGCATTTCCCATAGGAGTCAACCTGAAATAACAACCAGCGTCTTTACAAAGTGATCCCTTCACCTGGAACTTGTTTTCAGAGCTTGTAGTTCACGTAAAATTCCTAAGTTGGATCAGTTCCTAGCTACCTTAGCTTAGCTTCACTTTCACTCTCCGTTCTTTCCCTCGTGACTATTCCTAGAGCCTCTCTTCTACCAGCTTTGGGGGAAACCAAATGCTGAGTTTCAAAAGCATCTTTAGTGCAGTGCCACTCAAAAATGTATTTACTATCAGATAAATCAGAAACTGACAAGTAAGGAACAGCATTTGACTCTCTCTACATTAATTTAAAAGCCATCATTCTACTTAACAGAGACCCAGTACTTTTCCAAACAGTTATCGCACGTAATTCCCACCGTACTCAGCAGGCTGACAAAATTTTTCCCTTTCTTAGACTGAGAAAAATTGGTGCAGAGAGCTAAAAGAATACTGTCTAAAAATAAAAGACAATATCCTTGAACTGGACCCTGCATCAAACTTTGACAATATAGTCATATTTTAAAAATTCTTTTGTCTCTGTTTCACTACTGTGTACATGATGAACTTGCACAATAACTGAATCGTGGCCAACAGAAACAACAGAAATGACTAGGAAAAAGATGTTTCTGGCAAAGACGAAAAACAGATGTTTTTTATCACTCTCCTATCCTTCAGAATTTTTCAAAGAAAAAAAAACCTGAACTTTTTTCTGCTTTAAAGAAATTACATTATTTTACTTTATGAAGCTACTCACCATCAGCTGTGCCATAGCAGTATAAACCACCAAAGAAACAACATGGTTCTGCCACAACACAGATACGGAGCAGATTCTCAAAACACAGCAACCTGCCTTTTTATTGCCTTCTTGTACTTTCAAACAGGAGCAAGGTTTGTAAATGGACAGCCTTCCTGTACGCTAACTTCAAAGTCCAGAGATTTTAGTAACTTCTAGCACTTGGTCCAGCAGACTGAGCTTATTCAGGCTTTGCCCAGCTTGCGCCTGATCCCGAGTCTGGCCAATTCCACAACTAACAGCTACATCAGGCCTACCTACTGGCATGCGGTGTTGTCTAGATCACGGTTTGGGAAGGAATACAACTAGTTTTTCTGTCCAGCTTGTAGTCAGCATGCATCCCGTTATGACTCGTGTCTTGGCTAAAAACAAGGACAAACAAACCCCGTTAAAAAGAGGCGGGGAGGGGCGCCGCCAGGTGCTCCCAGCACCACGCCACAGCTTCCCCTGTGGATGTACCTGGATGTACTTCATGAGCTCCCGCACGTAGCGGTCCCTGTCCGAGGGCACATCGCAGTGGGACTGCATGTACAGCACGGGCGCGTAGCCCCTCCGCCGCCACGCGTCCTTCTCGGCCAGCGGCACGGCCGGGCCCCGCAGGTACCCCGCGCCGGGCAGCCACTGCAGCGTCAGCGGGTAGTCGGACTCGCGGCGAAAGGTGGCCGTGTAGTTGAAGAGCCGGATGCCGGGCGGGTGCGAGAGCAGGTAGTTGTTCATGGGGGACTCCTCGTGGAACAGCGCCCAGGTCTGGTGGGGCAGGCGGGGCAGCGGCGCCTCGTAGGCCCTGAAGTCGGTGCCGTAGAAGATGAGCGCCTTGGTGCGGCGGTGCCGGGCGACCCGCCTGCTGCGGGTGACCAGGCAGGAGCCGCGCGGGCAGTCGATGCGCTCCGTGTCGCCGGGGAAGTGCGGGAAGAGGCTCCCGCTCCACCAGAGCAGGATGGGCAGCGCCTTGTTGCTCCGCGTGTCGTTGTTGCCGGGCCCGCGGTAGGACGCGGCTGCGACGAAGGCCGCGCCCGGCGGGACGGCGTCCTGCGCCCACCCCTCCGCCCCGCACCGCTCCGCGGGCGCGGCCGCTCCCGCCGGCGGCCCCTCCGCGGCCAGCGCGGCCCCCGCGCCCCAGGCCAGGGCCAGCGTCACCCACAGGCCCGTGGGCCCCCGCCGCGGCCCCGCGCCCCCCATGCTCGTTCCCCGGGCCGTTCCCGCCGCCCCAGGAAGCGGCGCCGGCCCCGCCCCCGGCGGTGCCGTCACGGGGCGCGGAGGGGCCGGGGCGGGAGCGGCGCCGCCTTCCCGCTCTGCCCCCTCGGACCCTCGAGGAATAGCGAAAGCCCCTAGGGACAGCGACACCTAACACGGGTCTGTCATCGTTCGTGCAGCCTGGCTGCAGGCCCGGACGAGGTGACCCATTCGTAGGTCCCTTCCAACCCCACTGTCCTGTGGCTGAAGGGGCTGTAAATCCTCTCTACCGCTCCTGCATCCGTCTGTGCACACACCTGCCCCAGCAGTACCTGCAGCTGACAGGGAAAAGCCCGAGCTGTTCCACTGAGGCATAGCAAGCCTCGGCTGAAGGCATCTGCAGAGGTGGCTCCTCGACCATGCAGGCGTTTAGGTGTTGCAAGAAAGAGCACCCAGATTAACTCCTGCTGAAGACCATAAAGGGAGGGAACAGAAAACACCTTTTAGTAACAAAAATCTTTTGTTTGTTTTTTTTTAATATCTACAGTTAGTTTTAAAGCTTCCTTGAAAGCTGCTTTTCTGTACCAACCTTAAGTAACTCCTGTGGTTTATTAAATTCTTCTATAAATGGGAAATTGGTTCAGGCTACACTACGTAAATCCAACAGAAGTATGCTAGAATTACCACTCAATTACTCAGTTACACAATTGCTAAAAGACTCAATTCTTTAAGACCTAACTTAATATAATAACAATATTTAAGAATTATCGGTTATAATACAGGAGATCAGTTAGTATGGACACAAGGCAAAGAAGTCTTCTTTATCTGTGTAAGGAACAAGTTAAAGCAGGAATCTTTTTCCTTTCCTTTGAAAAGTTAGGTGTGAACACTGCTCGGGCCTGCTCCAGCAGCACACCTCAGGGTCCTGCACTGAGCTCCCAACAGAGTGTAACAGATATGGGCTCTGCAAGGCAATTCCCACAAGCATCAAAAGAGGAGCTGCACAATTTACTCCATATGATTTATGTACAAGATCCTCAAGGCCCATTATCTCAATATCAGTTCAATGGCAGATCCTGGATTTTATATACATTCTGCAGGAGAGTAATCTCAAAATATTCTACAGCAAACTTAGTATTGTTGGGTATTTAGCAATGATTGTCATGTGCTTTCATACATATTGTTCTAAGGTTATCAGGAAATTATACAATATCAATGTTCAAGGCTACAGTCAAGTTACACTGCCAATTCACTCTAAACTTTATTTTTGCAATTAGCACCCCTCCCCCCCCAAACAAAACATAACCCCCCAACCAATCTACCCAGCTTCTCTGCTTTCTTAACTCTGAAATAGGAGCTCTATTTCTCTGAAAAGTTAAGAATACAGAAGTCTTTAAGTTGACATTGCACAAGGTAAGGGCAATACTTGCCAAAGTAGACCAAAAAACCCCACCCCAATCAATGACTCAAGCTATGTTAGCAAAAAGGGAAATCTCTTTGCAAAATGGAAGTTCAGAGGGGGCAAAAAGTCAAAAACCAATCACTTAAGCAAATACTGAGACTGAATAGTATCTTTTGTCTGTTGATTCTTGTTGAATTTCTTATCATTCAATGTGAATAACAACAATGAAAAAAAGAGACTGAATTTGACTAGCAGAAGATTGGATTGTAAAGGAGCAATGAGTTAAGACTTCATCCCTTCCCATTTCCCCCCTCCCGCAAAATACAGGGTTTGGAAAAATAAGCAGTGTTTATTTACTAACAATGACATAAAATACATCTTAATATATTTTTATTTCTTTACAAATTAAAAGATGCATTGGAAAAACAAGTGAAGAAAATGAAAGGTTCATTCATGATTTCATTTCCACCCCCACACCCCCCAATATTAATACTAGAAATTAGTATTTGTGGAAGTCTGTGGTTGCTGCGCCTTATATTTCTGGGAAGTTCTTTTTTTCCCCTCTGATTAAAAATCCTCTAGATTTTTTGGTTGGAGGCAGTACATGGAGTAAAAAGTTGGCCACACTCATACAAAAATGCTGAAGGTTCTGTCAACTACATCTTGAAAGAGTTTCTCCATTACAATTTTCATATTCCCCTTTCTGTGTAGTGATGGGAGGGAAGACAAACTAGCAGCATTAGAAGAAAAATGGATTTATATACATGCTACAGGATATGGAACTAAAACCACAGCCAGATATTTTTCTGATTTTAACAAGGACTTTCCTATGAAATATCAAGCCCAGATAACATATTCTCTAATCCATCCACATTCTTCCTTCCACTTTTAGTGCTATTGGTAGCTTAAACTCCTGGGTACTGGAAGAACACTTGTTAAGTGTTCAAGCTAAAATATACAAGCCCCCTTTCAAAAGTGAATCAACGAAGCCCTTAGAATTCTGAATTTGATTACACTAGCTCCCTCTTCACAGGAGTCTTCTCATCCACCCTTGCAAAATGGAGCAGCAGAGCAGCCAAAGTGGATGGATTCATCTCTCTGAGGTATTTTAGTTTAACAAATAGGCTTATAAAAAGGTTTTGTGCAAGCTGATCAGTAGGTAGAACAGGGGAGGGTATAAACATCCAGTAATGAAATTCCTCACTATGGCCCAGATGCTTTCAACGACCGAAATCACGTACTTGTGATACCTACTACAGTACAGTCTAAATCTTAAGCTTTTGTATCTTCTTCCTTGTATTCCAGGGTACAAAGCAATCTCAAAAATTCACATCAGTATAAATCAAACTCCTGCTTGTTTGCTATGATTCACAATAATATGGTTGAAAATGGCCGCTTCCTTATAATCCAGTTCCTACACAGCCCACCATCACCTTGTTAAAAACATTTTCTGCATAAGATTAAGAGGATTTTGTTCCCACCACCATCTGACAGACAGGTAAGCTCTGCAGGAGAGGCCATGGAACATGGATTGAGTAGGACAATACAGAGCCGTGCAATGAGAAGGAAGGGAGTCACCACACGCCAACAGGAAGTACCATCTCTACTCCTACACCGTTTAGAAGCTGTTGATTTTTGCCCACTGAACTATTAATTACTCCATTACAGATCTGCACAGCAACTTATAGTACAGGGAAGATTGTGGAGAGAAATTTGTCCTGCTGCTTCCTCACTTAGCACTCATTTCATTTTTCATGGCTTTCTGGTTCAGACAGCCGCATGATACATCTGTGCTCTGACACATCATGTTTCCCTCTTTAGAGAAGACAAAAAAGGTTTGGCTGCTCCAGCTTCCATCACCTGACCTGCCTCCCGTCCTCCCCACCTGTGCATCACCTTCACACTTGGAGCAAGTGCACACACCCACACGAACGCACAGCAGCTACCAGGAATTTTGAAGAGTTATCGCTTTTTCACCCAAAGTTGAATCATGTACAGTGAACTGAAAAAAACCTACATTCATTACAACAGGATTAGCGAGCATGGGGTGGGGGGTGAACTCCTGCCAAGCACAGGAAACAATTTAGATGCAAATAAAAGACCTGGTATCAAAGGCCTTTTTATCTTTTTTTTTTAGCCCTCACCAGGAAAATATTTCATCTCTCATACAGGATTGGGAAAGGTTGAAAGGATTTCTGCTTATGCAACATGTATTAAAAATTATGGAATTGTACAGATTTCTATGTTGTCCTTTTTGAGGGCGCTGAGCCTTCTGATCAGGTCATTAGTGGAGACTGAAATGTCACTGCTGAGTTCCAGCACCACTCACTCCTCTAGCTCAGTAGCTGCCGAATCTCCTTGTGCATGTGACACAGGAAGTCCACATATGAAGCCCCCCCACTCAGGCTCTTGTCCTCCACTAGAAAGTGTTTGAACAGCATTTCCAGCTTATCTTCTTGCTTCACAATTATCAACTACAAAACAAACAAAACAAAACAAGAACAAAACCAACAGTGAGTAGACAGCAGAATTAGTCTTCTTGGGGAAAAAAGGGCAAAAAGCCAAATGGCTCAAAAACCCAAAGACAGATAAGCCATATATGCTGTTAATCTGGTTATGTGCTTCGACTTCTGTAAATCATCTGGGTTAAGTCTCAATCCCTTCTAAATAAAAGAAAAATACCACATATGCGGTTTGTAAAGTAGTATAGGTCTGAAAAAAATTAGTTTTAGAACTATGGTAAACACAAAACTCCAAAAGTAGTGAAATTTTTTTTCAGATTCTTGAAAACTTTGAATCACATTTATGAGATTGGGAAGAATAAATTCAGCACTGCAGCATTACCAGGTATCACCTGCTCTACAAAAAGGGAAAGGGATTTAAAGCTGTGAATGGGGGACACCATTTTTACCTTCATGTAGCGGGACCTCTGTCTTTGAAGCATGTCAACAATAGATCGTACTTTCTTTGAAAAGGGGTTTTCCAAGATAGGCAGGGCACTCTGGAATGAAAGATATCCAATCCCCATTAGTCATGTGAAGTAGAGCAACCCTAAATAAAACTCAGCAGTTTTGTCATATTATATAAGGGTATGGACATATCTACCCCCATTAACATACAATTTCTTTGACCTCAACTACTTAAAAGAATATAACAAGATGTCAGAATTAAAGGTCAGTTATTTGTTCCATTTAGATATCAACTGTTCTTTTCACTGTTAGTGATGTAGCTTGCCAAATAAACCTAGGCAAAAGCATGCCCAACATGCCCAGACTAGGGACATTTCCACTAGTATCACATATCTGTGCTTCTTCCGTTCCCAGTATGAAAAACGTAACACTATTTTCTCAACTGGCTTTCTCATTGTTTGAAGTTTTGGGTGACTATCAGAGACAGGAGCTCCCACACTGCCATCCAGCTCACCAAGGTGTTGCTAATCTGACCGAAGGATGACACTCCAAAGAGGTTCTGGATCAGGCTTTGCTGCACGCTGACTCCCACCCACACAAAGATGTTCAGCCCGTTCTCCAGTAGGTATATGTCACCCTTGGAGAGACGCTCCTCTGAGTTCCGAATGGCTGCTGGCAAGGAATCACTGTCAACATC